ATTATTATTATTATTATTATTATTATTATTATTATTATTATTATTATTATTATTATTATTATTATTATTATTATTATTATTATTATTATTATTATTATCGTTATTATTCTTTATTTTAGTAATGCTCTCTCATGGTGTGCTTAATTGCTCATACTTTTGAAGCTTTTGAAGACTTCTGTTTTTTGTTCACTTCTGCTTGGACTTAAATACCACGTGGTAGTTTTTATTTGAATGGTGGCAGTGAGGTGCATATTAAGGCCAGTGTCGTGTTCCAGGAGTGGGAACTCAGCATTACACAGATTGGCATTTCTGTGTGTATAGAAAAAACAAACAAAAGCATCGACATTATTCGGTGTGTTTTTATTTTATTTCATTAAAATAGGTCAGTGTTTGCAGGCCTGTTTAAATGTGGTTCTGTGCTTTTACCTCCAGATCTCCTAGACTTTGTTTTTAGAGTAGTTTATTTGTCCATTTCACGCACTTCTCAGTAAAGTGTGTCTAAATCTTGGCTCAGCGCGGTGACCTTAGCACACAATGGGCCTCCGCTGGACTGAATGGCTCCTGCTGACACACTTGACAAAGGAACGAGACGGGACCCGCCACACCTTGATCGATATGCAACCCGAGGTGAGCAGCGGAGGGTCAAGGTGAGCACACCTGTACAGGGGTGCTCCCGCTCCCACTGGCCCTCCCTCTAACCTTTCATCAGAATCTATATGTTTCCATTAAAATGTCCCAAAAATGCCTTTAAGAGGGACAGACACAGGGATGTTTAGTTACCACAAGATGAACAGAGATTTAGAATTCAACATTCATTCTATATATGTATATATATATGTGTGTGTTTGTGTGTGTGTGTTCTGGTAAGATGGCTTTATGATTCGGTTTGGGACAGACTGCGGTCCATTTGTCATGCTCAGGCGGTATTTATCCATTTATTTAGCGCGCCATCCATTTTTCACTCAGAACTTGGGAGAACAATGTTTGATAGAACAGCGTTTCTGTGTTCCAAGTGATTTGTCTTTTTTCTCTTTAAATCGCTCTTGTTCTTTTGTAGCGTCCCCGCAAGGGAGTGCCAAGTTTCTCTCATTTATTTATTATTTACTGCGATGTTTGAATAATTACGCACCAGTTCAAATGTAATTATTTAATTTAGTGGACTGTTTTGTCCTGTAAAGCTCGAACGTATTTTCATTTTAGCTATATATAACTCCTGAAGTCCCATGACACACACACACACACACACACACACACACACACACACCAAAGACAGGTTTTATTCCTCTCGCACATTGTAGGCGTTTTGGTGGCAGACAGACCAGACATTTCAACCAAAATATCTCACACGGCCTACCAAAACGAAATGTGTTTTTTTTTGGCAACTGCAGCACAATCCCCGGGACAACTAGAAAGGCCTTTATAAGAATGTGACAGTTTCGTTCGTTGTTATTTATTATTTGAAGTCTTTTAAACAGATTGTAAACCTACGGCTTCAACCCCTCCGACCTGATTTTTCTCTTCCACATTCTACCGTAGCTTTTCCATCATTTTCCATATTTTCGCATCGGCTGCTTTATTATTCCGTTGGATCCAGGGGGCCACACGGCGTTAGGACAGGTTTCTGGGGGGGGGGGCTCAGGACAGATGGCTGCTGAGTGATGGAAATGTTCCTAACCTTCATGGAGTTTAGAAAAAAAGTTGAAGGCAATCAAGCGCCCCACCTGCTCACCAGAGAGCCCGTGTCTTCTATATCTACCCTGTAGATCCGGATTTGTGTCAAACACAATTCAAACAATCACAAATTCGCTTCTAGGGGAGTATATAGTGGATTAAACACAACGGCTGCTGCCAGTCCAGGTGCTCCCCGGGTTTGCTTGTAAATGGAAGTGGAGAAGCAAAGTTTAGGCCCCGTTTCATCTTTCGTTTGATGCAAAGGATTTATTTCTCACTTCAGTCTATTTCACCTCATTTTATCCTCATTTTTTCATATTTTATTTTAGCGTCTCGCTCCAAACGTGATTCAGTCCCAACCTAGCCTCCTGCATTTCTGTCATTATGAAGACTGACTGTTTTAAGCCAACCAGTCGTTAAATGTATCTTTTTTCTTTTTTTTCCCCGGGTGACAGGACTTTAGAACGAAAAAAGCCCGTAGTTTTCCTAAAACAAAGAAACCTGTCAGTTTATTTATATTTTGTATATTTTGTATTTTCTTGTAGCTCTTTGAAAATATATTTTAAAACACAACAAGTAAATTCAAATAGCGGAAACCCGTTTGATTCCATAAAAATGGGTCAAATACTGAAACGAATCTTTCCATAGCGCTGGAGTCCCGGGCTCGTTGACGATAGATACACTTTAAAACAGTTTATATCACAGAAATACATGAACATCTGCAGCAGGAAAAGATCTGGGAGTCCCTGGCAGATAATAAAGGTGCTACAGATTAATTCCTTTTGGGAAGATAACCAAAGGTCGTTGTGCCTCCGCTTAGTAATGCAAAACTCATTTGGAACTCCAGCAGAAGAGTCCTGATAGCAGGGCAGTTATATCTGAGAGGGAAGGGGTATAAATCCCCTCTTCAGTCAAGGTGAAGGGCGACTCCAGTTGAGGATGAATTGTTGTGTGCTGGAAGTTAAACGTGGGCTGGCTGCTGCGGACGCTCCGCGGCTTCAGGAGGGCGCGCGGCTGAGTTCCTGCTCCTCGCGCACAGGTCTGGTGATTTAGGGGGCCGAGCAACCTGAATTACTTGATTAATTTTCTATCGATCCTAAACAAGTCAGATTAATCTCTGACACAGCCCTGCTGCGGTGCAGCTCCCGGCATTAGCGACCTGGGGGGGGGGGGGCGGGGGGGGTGGGGCGGGGGCCCGTGCGTGCGTTGAGGGTGGTGCCGGCGCCATTTAATGCCCGCCAGCACTTTCTGCGAGCTGCTCTTTCTGTGCTCAGCTCTGTGTTTGAAATAGTCGCCAGACAGCTAACAGGGTTAGGGCTTGTATGCGCGTGGAACCAGCTTGTGGATCCATTTGTTGACTGTGCACGTGCTCACGCATACTAAGTTGCTTCATGTTTATTTCAGAAAGCGTCAGACGCACTTTGTTTAGCCATTCCCTTCATGCCCGGGGCTCTTTTCCTACCGGCAGAGGGGCAGGCGCAAAAAGCTGATGGGCAAAATAAAAAAGTGAATGAAAATGAAATGAAATGGGCAAAAAAAGAAAAGAGAGAGGCCATATGATCATGCGCATGTGAGAGCCATGTATATGTTTAATCCCATTTCCTCATCCAGGGTTTGTCCAGCAGGCGCTGTGCCATTGGCTGGTTGTCGTCACGTGGGTTCTTAACTTTGTTCACTTGACAGAAAAGTAGGAGGGTTCCAGGGGACAGAAATTACCGAAGAGTAAAGGGATGGGATATAAATTTTAGTTATATATTTTGGAGAAGGTGCAATTCCACAAAAAGACTCAAATTAATGGCCATGAGCTCCTATTTGATCAACTCAAACTATGTGGACCCGAAGTTCCCACCCTGCGAGGAGTACTCCCAGAGCGACTATCTGCCCACTCACTCCCCGGACTATTACGGCTCCCAGCGGCAGGACCCCGCCGCCTTCCAGTCGGACTCTGTCTACCTCCAGCCGCCGCCCCGGACGCACCCGCCGGCGCGCGCCGAGCAGCCCTACACGCCGTGCCAGCGCGCGGCTCCCCCCGCCTCGGTGCTGATGTCCCCCCGGGGTCACGTCGTGCTCCCGCCCGGGCTGCAGACCGCCCCCGGCCCGGAGCAGAGCCGCCTCAGCGACCCGGTCTCACCGAGCCCTCCTCCGGCTCCGTCCTGCGACCAGACGGCCCAGAGCAAAAGCGCGTCCTCCCCCCCCAGCGCCCGCACGGACCCCGTAGTCTATCCGTGGATGAAGAAAGTGCACGTGAACATCGGTAAGAGCTGCATGGAAACTTTCTCTCCCTCTGTGTCTGCCTCTCCGAGCCGCTGCCACCGGGCTGGAGGTCTGTGGGAGAAGCCGCCTTGCTCTCGCTGTGCGCCGGCAGAGGGACAGGGGAAGAGCCGCCCTTGGGTTCAGATTTACGGTCGTCTGTTTGCAGGGTCAATATAATTACACCGGCAATAAATTTTTATTACACTTCTTCGCCGTGTCTTTTGAAGTCTGATCTCGGGCAGGTCTGCTCTAATTCCTCTCCTTATAACAACTTGGAGCATAAGTGAGCTTTTATGCTTTGGTAATTTGATTTTAAGTGGTTCGGTTGTATAAACAGTGGACTTAAGTCCTTCGAGTCCTCCACCCTCATTCGTTGTTCCCAGGAAAGGAAAGTTTTATGGCAGATGAAATATTCATGTTTATGGAGCCGGCCGTAAAACACTAATGTAAAACCAAATAGCTCCGGTCTGTTATGGCTCCTCTGTCATGTTCCAGCAGACGCGCGCCGCGTGCGCTGGAACAGACCGCGCGCCGGTGGAGAGGAGGCAGAAAACCTGCTTTGTCTTTGTGAGTCGCGGGCCGGTGTGAAAAATAGATTATAATGAACGTAGACGTGTCGTGTATGTATGTATGTATGTGTGTGTGTATATATACACACATATATATATATATATATATATACACACACACATTAGTGTGACGTGTGTTTTTCTGTGTATCTATGTGTGTGTTTGTTCATTTCCAGTCATCATCTTGTCATTGAATTAATACCGTCGTGCCCCCCCCCTCCCTCTGCACAACCACACGCTCGCGCCACACCACGCAGGCTCACGCGCACGCCGGCCTCCTTCATCCTCGCGCCCTCATGGCAGACAGTGCCACCATCTTGGCTGCTGCAGAGGCCCCAGTGAGCGCTCCTGTTTTTGCCCCGCGCGCGCTAACGTGCCCGAACAGAGCACTGTGTTTCTACAGACGTGTAAAAACGGCTGTGCCTCGGTGTGATGTCACAGCCGAACATGCGGAGCTCTGCATCCCACAGGCAGAGACTCACACCCAGAGTAGAGCGATCCAACATGGCCTCACCCAGCAGCCGAGGGACAGACACACACCGCTAATGGAAGCCAAATACAGTCACATCCGACCGGGCTGCAGATACTGAGAGCTGTCCTCTGCCTCTGTATGAATGTTCATCGGCATAAACGTGGATTTAATGTGTCCTTTCACTGTGAGCTCTTTTTCTGAGTGTGCGTCCACTGTTTGAAGCGAACCGGTATTTTAAAAATAATCTGGTTTAATATTCTGTCTTTGCTGTTTAACCTAAATACACTGTATATTATTATTATTATTATTATTATTATTATTATTATTATTATTATTATTATTATTATTATTATTATTATTATTATTATTCTCCTACAGTGAATTCCAGCTACACGGGGGGAGAGCCGAAGCGCTCGCGGACGGCCTACACGCGCCAACAGGTTCTGGAGCTCGAGAAGGAGTTCCACTATAACCGGTATCTGACGCGCAGGCGCAGGGTGGAGATCGCGCACACGCTGTGTTTGTCCGAGCGGCAGATCAAGATCTGGTTCCAGAACCGACGGATGAAGTGGAAGAAGGACCACAAGCTGCCCAATACCAAAGTCCGGTCCGGAACAAACCCCCAGAGCACGCCGGGCCCCCAGAGCCGGCTCCCCGGGCTCCCCGGGCCCCTATAGCGGGGCTCCGCCCCCCCCCCCCCCCCCCGCGCTGCTGACCATCCCTCTGCCCAGTACCTCCCGAACCGAACGCTGAAGAGACCCACATTGCACTTTGGACCCAGACAATGCCTTTGCTTTGGTGAGCTGTC